GGCGGCTACTTGCCTTCTTTTAGATTAATCTCGTGATCTCAGGGCTAATGTTTGGGCAGGGCCCTCAAGTCTTCGGGGTCCTCAAACAACTCAGCGTACTTCCTATAAGGATGAGGTATTCCTTCCCATCCCTAGTCAAGCTATCTAGTGTTTGCTTGATCTTGTGCCTTAGAGGCTGTGGCACTAGCCTCCTTAGGTCCTTATAGTCATTCGTTTGGGCAATTACACCGATTAAGCCTCAAACTCTGTTTCGTCTAATCGAGTTCTAGGTTGTGCTTCTATAGCTAAGGAATCCCTAGAACCATTTGGTGTCGACCGATCGGGGCGATGTCCAAGACAATCATCTCGACATATCCCTGTATTTTCATTCGTAGGGGGTTTGTCTTATATACGACCCTTCCCCCATCCTAAGCGATAGCTGTCTCGTCTATCGTACTCAGCGAATATAGCTCGTCTTTTAGCCAGGCCGATAGTCCCAGCTAGGATACTATCTCCCTAGAGATATAGTTCCCTTGAGCCCCTGAATCGAGCATAACTAGGACTGAACTGCCCTAGACAATCGCTCGTATGTGGAAGTGATTCGTACTTCTCCGCACTATCCTAATAGTTGCACTTAATTGCCTAGGAGGTAAAAGTATGAATCGTACCGAAGCCTGTTGTCGGCTTTCCACTGTGTTGATTTCCGTTACCCTTTGATTGGTATACTAGCATTCCTATTCCTTTAGGGCTATTATCCACTCAACGAGCCTATAGGGGGTTCTTTCGCGCAAACGTGCCCCAAGTGGGTTATCTTGTCTTTGTATAGCGATCCTTGCCTTATATCCCTCAAAGGGTGGGAATACCACCTCCCTCCATACCCAAAGGTCTGTAGAGTAGGCGATTATCTCCTATATTTGCCCCACCTCTAGGATCTCGTCCAAGGTCTGGGTCTGGTCTTCCCTCCCCGAGAAGTACGAGACATGCACTAGCGACCGAGCCCAGGTTGTGCGGAAAGCGATTCTCTACGCATCCCGATATACAATAGTATAATATATTCTTGTCTCAGGCAAATCTATTCCGCTCTACAGCGGACTCTTATACTCGCCCTTCCTCCCGTACTTTGGTTCCTAGGTCACTAAAAGTCCACCGATGCTAGCGACGATCCATTCCTCGTTGACCTCAGGGAGAGGGTCTGTGGGAGCCTCGACTAGTTTAACTTCTCCAAGTTAATGGTTTTCTTCTTAGACACTCCTCTCAACTAGAGTCCCTGATTCCTCTGACCCGTCGTTAGAATCATAGAGTTCTGGCGTACCGTCTAGAGGTCCCTACTAGCCGCTGTCTGAGCCTGGCTGAGTATCGTGCTCCCATTCTTCCATACGATGGGTAGCATTAGCTTGTCTCAAGGTCTCGGTTTCCTTGGTGGCGTTAGCTTGCTTGCCCTTTCCCTTGTTGTGAGAAGATGCAATATAGCCAGGCAGTCCACACTCGTAACAGAGTCCCTTCTCTCGATGTTCCTTCCTAACTTCCGGCGAAAGCTGCTTCCTAGGCTTCTTCCCATAAAAGCCTCCTCTTTTACTCTTCCTCTGGCCTCTAGTTGTGGTTGCGTCGAGCTGTATGAGATCCCCTTTATTATATAACTTTAGGGAACCCTGTAGTTGGCGATGGGAGTACACCCCTTTTCGCTCAAGGCGCCTCTCGTAGAACCGTTCGTCGAATTTTGCGGCTAGGCGTATGGTTTCCTAGAGGCTAGTGGGTTCTGGCTCTACTCGGGCGAGCTCGTCCTTAATGAACTCCTTGAGGCCCATGTAGTACGTTCTTTTCAGAGCCTTTCCATCCCATCTAGCCTGACTAGAATACTGCTAGAACTTAGAGGTATAGTCCTTGACAGACCCTGTCTGTCGTAGCCTCATCAATTCCCTTTCGGCCGTTTTCTCGACTTCTAGATCCCTGTAAACCCCCACTATAGCCTTCTTAAATCCTCCAAACCCTCTGAAGATAACTTTAGTTTCTTCCCTAGCACTGTTGAGGATCGTTCCAGTTGTCGCGTGTCGATTAGTCATATAGTCAGACAAGTAGGCCTTGAACCAGTTGAAGGCTAGTCCCCTTAGGTAGCTAGCGGCAAAAGCTACTTTGGCCCCCTCGCTAGGGAACAAGTGTGGGTTGAACATCAAATAGATATCCATAGAACAAAGGAATGATTCGAGCTTGTGTCGGGTGCCGTCGTAAGTGTCTAGTACCTTGACAGCTGGGGTACGTTCCTGTACTGCGATGGTCGTCACCTCCGTGGGTACTAGGGTCTCTGCTCGTCCAGAGGTAGACATAGTTGCCGAATGCTAACTTCAAGACCAGGTGCTCAAAGTGTCACAACTCTCTCCTTACCCT